TTGATTGATTCCTTATTCCCCTTATTTACTTTTAGATCATTAACTTTTGAACTTCAAATTAATAAATAACATTTGAATCTGTGAGTTATAAATTGATCCAATTTATTTAAAGCTTCTTCTAGACAACATTAGAGTAGCAATTAAACTTTTTTTTAAAAAAAATACGATTTTTAAATTACCTATATAATATGTATAAACTGTTATACAAATATATATGAATTTGTCTAAATGATATCACAAGATAAATAATTGACAAAACCAGACACAAAATTCATACGTGCCAATTTTAGAGCTTTAATAGAAGACATAGATACAATTTGGTTTTTCCAGAATAAATTCACTAACACTTAATCTTTGCTCTTACTATTTATTTCAGTTATATAAAAGATAAGTTTTTTATTGGACAATTTTAACTTGTACCAGTGGTTAAAGATAACCAGTGTGCTAATACCTCAATAATGTACTAAGTAAACGGGATCAGGTACTTTAAGTAAAAATGTTCAGGACCTCTGAAAACCCTACAAGAACTAAGATTGGAGCCTAAAATCTAATGTATAGTATATTATATTAAAATAACATTTTATATAAAAAACTCCTATTTATCTTAAAGCTGCACCCTAACCCTAAGTTTTAATAGGAGTGGTTATTCTTAACCACTGGTGTAGGTTATAATAATTCTTTTTATTTAATTTTTCTTAGTCACTTTTATATAATTTACAACTTTTGTCTAATTATACTATTTTTGGACTTCTATTTAAATCTTTTCTGATTTTCTTTTATTTATAACTTTTTCATCTTACTAATATTTTTTTATTTTATCATACTTTTGCTACTCACAATTTATCCATTTCACTACTCTAAAATCTCTGTTTTTTGTTTTTACACCTTTTTTATTTTTAGTTATATAATCTTATCATTCAATTGTTTGCTTGTTAAAGAGCTTTTAATGTAATTTTGGGGTAGATAAGTGGGGTCCCAAAAATATTAGATCATAATTCTGGTTAAAATTTTATAATTCTGGTCAAAATTATAAATTTATATAATAATAAAATATTTAAACTTGAATAACTTTTAATATACTGGGCCAATTTAGACGATTTAACTGCCAAAATGATTCTCTCAAAAAGAAAATTCCAACAAGCTCAAAATTATCAAAATCCAATTACAAAATCATAAAATAGACAATATTTTGTATTATTTTATATATATTTAAATAATACAAAAAATTATCTATCTTGTGATTTTGTAAGTGGATTTTAATAATTTTAAGCTTGTTGGAATCTTTTCTTTAAGAGGATTATTTTGGTAGTTAAATCATCCAAATTGGTCCAATAGATCAAAAGTTATATAAATTTAAAAATTTTTATTAATTAATATTATTTAAAAATTTTATGCAATTTGATTGGCTAATAAAGTATTAGATGTGGATGGGTGAGGATAAAATTTTGAAATTTATTAATAACAAAATATTATATAATTTCTGGAAGCTTCCTTAAGATGCTTATGTATATTTTATTTAACCTTGATTTGAATATAATTATATATATCAATCAAACATGGGATATACATACTTGTTGATATTTTTTGTAAGATCATGGGCCCTAGATCATGGTTATTAGATCATGTTTTACTTTATCTTTAACACTTTCTTTATTTTTTCTAGAATTGTCATTGTTCTTTTAATAAAGTATTTGCCTATATGTTCAGTATAAATTATAAAAGCTTTATACTTTTAAAATAATAAAAAATTACTTATTTATATCTTTGACATAATTGTACCTTATACAGTCGTCCCCCCTATAGTCACCCAGTTTATCTAGCATAGTTTGGTGATTATATAGAGGTGTGATTGAATAGAGTTACCTCTATATAATCACACAATATAGTATAGCCAGCACAATGTGATTTTAAAAAGGTAATTTAAAAAAATAAATAATTTAAATAATAATAAAATTAATTTATTTCAAAATTAACTATATTAAATACTTAAAATCATTACTAAATTTATATTTAATTTAATATTTTAATAATTTACTACACTATTCAAATACTGTAATTATATTTAAACATGTATTAAATAATAGAAAAATAATTAGAATTCAATTACCAGTACAATAGTTTTAGATAATTAATACTTAATATATAAATTTTAGAAACTTACATATTCTGACGATTAAGGCCCAGGTATTATTCACTATACCTATTAGCCTAATTCTTAAATAATACCCAGGGAAATAACTATATATAGCCCGATTATATATTAAGCTCAAATTATTGAGTATTCAAAGAAACTATTATTTGAGTTCACGAAATTTTTCACAAACTGTTACTTGAATTTACATAGTTAGCAACAAATTCATCCTCATTATTATATTTAGTGTTTCGATTCAGATTAAAAAACTCAGTTTGATTCAGGTACTAATTATTTTAAAATAAAAGTTTTTATTGAGATCATGGATACTACTTTAAAATGGTAAAACCAAAGAGCTGATAACTTATCTTTCATATTATTTATCTGAAATTAGTTAAGGACTCAATAATATTGAATTATTTACATTTTCTTATTAAAGTGAATAATTTGGCACCGGAATTACTATAATATTTGCAGCTATAAAAAACAGCTCAAAAAAATTTTATACTTCTAGTTTAGGAAAAAAATTTTCAAAAAAATTTACAAAAAAAAAAAAAAAAAAAATTGTAAACTAAGTTCACATTTAGGAGTTTCACATCTATATGCATGGGTACTACTTTACTAAAATTTACATTTTTTAAGATATACAAATATTTGGCAATAAAAAGCATTATTTACTACTTTATAAGCTTTTAAAGTAATAAATTAGGAGTTTGATTCTAAATTAGTAAAAAAATTGTACTTTTTTAGGCCTAATAAGTAGCAAAATTTTGGCTTTTTACGACAAATAAATTAGGTATTAAATTTAGCAATATTATAGTATTATTATAACTAATAAATTACTTTATTGGATATTAAATAGCAAAATTTTAGCATTTAATTAGGTATAAAATTTTGCAATATTATAGCAATATTATAGCTAATAAATTAGATAATAAATAGCATTTGCTAAAGTAATATATAGCATTAAATTTCCAAGATAAATCTATTATTGGTATGTTTTTATAGGCAGCGAACTTTATATAAAGCACTCTCATAGAAACATACACTTTATATAGAAATTTAACTATAACGCATAATAAATGCTCTAAATATAATATATTATTGCATTTATAGAATAAAGTACAAAATTAAACTTTGACCAAAATGAACATGATTGAAGATACCATGATCGTACTATAATCATCGATTAGATATATACATCTTGAATACATGAAAATAAGAAGCAAAAATTGGTAAGAAGAACCTAATGGATGGAGTAAAACAGTTAGTAAAGTAATTAGAAAATGTGATATTATAAAAGAACAAGAAAAATGTAATGCAATAGTTATCTTTCCAAGTGCCCACTTGGGCCAAAGTATACTCGCCAAATCGTAATGCCCTGAGTAGAGTCGTTAAAATTTTACTACTAAAAACTGAAATACAAATGACAAAACGAACCTGCTATAAAAAAAAAAAGGAAAAGAAGCATCGTCAGAAAAAAAAACTACATGAAAAAATAAAAGCAGATAATTTTTCTTCAACACGACAAAAAAAAGTAAGAGATAAATACTCCAGTAAAGACCCAAATTATTATTGTGGTAATAATTATAATTGAAGTATCAAAAAAATTTTTTTTAAACACACTGAAACCTAATATAAGATCAACAAATAAACTTTTATTAGTAATCGACCAATTACACATAAAAGCAAAACTAAAAACCAATTTATCTTTTATCTTTTTAATTTCATAATAAATTAAATTTGAACTTGTTCTTTTTTCTTAATACAAACCTAACTCGCATTCTCTTTAGAAACCTAACAAAAAAATTGACACAACCTCAACAAGCCCTGTAAAACTATAAACCAACCCAACGAAATTTTCGAAGAGAGAATCTCATAAAAGCACAATGTTATTCATTTCTTAACAAGAGGAAGGATAAGGTTTTTTGTATAAATGTTAATCGTAGTAAACAAAATCAATTAATCAAGTATTTTTTTTTGAAAGAAAGATAAAATTGTATACTTGTTAGACAAAATACCATGCTTATAAAAAAAGTTAACAGGTGTTTTTTGCTTCACTGTTCCTGCGCCTCTTTATTATTTAATTACTATCACATCTATTTTTTTTATTTCTTTTTTATATTTGTACAACTTATTCTTGCTATATTAAAGTTCATGGCTAAGGAAAATCTTCACTAAAAATTTCTTCACTAATTTGAGTCTTCACTATAGTGAGAGTGAGCTATATTACTTATTTTGTCACTATTGTTATGGTAGAAAGGAACATGCGGTATATTGGTGAAAGGAATCGATCTGGATTTCTAAAACAGTAGTAAAGTGACAAACGAAAGTAATAAAAAAAAAAAAAAAAAAAAAAAAAAAAAAAAAAAAAAAGGATAAGTGTATGAGTAGTAACATATAGCTTCGAATTGAAGAAAGTATGTATGTGTACGAGTCTTAACATATGGCTTTGAATTAAAGAAGGTATGAATGAATAAGTGTCATGTGCACGTGATACACGTGCTTTAGGGAATATCAAGCGGAATTGTAAGCATTAGATCGAACTATAACAGGTATATGCATGAATTATTAAGCAATTAATATGTAATCAATTTAAAAGTTTAATGATCGTATGATCGAAGTATGTGGTAATAGATTAGGCCTATTTAGTTATAAAGGAGCGAAAGTAATATAATAATAAAGGTTCTGATCTTTCATTAATAAAAATACATAGTATAAACTTTCTATTGTAACCAAATAATCTCGAATCACTTAAGGCGAAAGTTACAGTACTAGTGGTCACTTCTGAGTTAGGTTATTCTTTGACGAAAGTCATTGATTAACCCATGATACTATGTTCTTCATTGCTATACTCTATTGATCTATAATGTGTAAGGTATGTGGAATATAAATGAGACCCTATTGAAGATATAAATGATAAGTAGTTACTGAATATATATAAATGAAAAAAATACAATATTATATTTGGTGTAAATTTGAAATAATTATTGAGAGCTTTAACAATAAAGTTTAAAGATACACAAGATGGTGAATACAAGGTGGGCATTGAAAGTGAATTGTTAAAAAATGGCAAGGTTATTTTGAAAAAATGACATAAGCAGTTGAGATATTAATTGTGAGATTTGACTCTACTTAATTTGTATCTCTTAAATTAATCATGGACTCGATTCACATTGCATGCAGCTTACCTCTTATTATATAATCCTTAAACATATCAACATTTATTATTCTTGCTTTACTTATTTGAGTTTACGATTCTGATGTAAACTCGACATATCTATTGTTGATTGATGTTAGTATATGCAAGGTTTTGAGTAGTAATAACGATTGTTTGATCCTTTAAGTAGATATTTCATAGTGTAATGAGAATTTGCTATGAACTTAGAATTAAATTTAATTTATTCAGTATTCATAATTATTTAAAAAAGATTATAGTTACAACCTAACCTCAAAAATCTTTGGATGGTACAAGTAAATAAAATTTGCAATGCGAAAGTTTGATATATAAATATTAATTTAAATTGTTAGCTAAGTCTTACACATATAAATTTATATTAATTTGTTGAATTCATTAAAGAAAAAAAAAAATTCATTAAATACTAAAAATCAAGGTTGTTATGAAAAAATTTATATATTTATGATCAAATAATATTTATACGTAATTTTGATTGCGTTATTAAGAAATTTTAATTCTATAAATATAAATAATTTGGAATTGGCTTTTATTTTCATCTTTTCGCTTAGAAAGATTAAATACGATACCACCAAAAAAGTCTTCTTCTCGTAAGTGTTAATCTCTGTTTATAGTTATCAATTTTTACTTAAGTTTTTTATTTATAGAAAAACCAGTAAAAAAAAACAAAAAATGCAAAAAAGAAGGTTGATGTTACACCAGTAGAGTCAGATATTTCTAAACATTCAAATATTTCTGAACATTCAAATGATGTACCAAAGTCTAAGAAACCACGAAAATCGAATAAAACAAAGGACAAAGATATATTTGTATATAGGCGTATTCATATTAAGCGATCAATTTTTTTAATAATATGTTTAAAATTTTTTAAAGAAAATATTGATCTGGATTTAGAGATCAATGAATTAGATAATTTACAATCTAAAACCTGTACCAAATATAAACAAAATCACTCACCTTCTATGGAATCACATAGTCAATATACTCATGCTAAAAATCAGACTTCTCAAGTTTATGGATCGCTGAATTATTGTGTTAGTGCTAAATCTTCATCTTTTACTGCTAATAAGTATCAACTCAAATGAATGAATGATCTACTATTCCAAGGGTTCAATCAGATATTGATCCTTTGCTTGATCAACCCGGCAAACGTTCTTCTAATTAAGAAAATGAACCTGGCAATCCTTTGCTTGATCAACCTAATAGCTATAGCAAATGATCTTCTAATCAAGGAAATAAACCTGGCATTGATCCTTTGCTTGATCAATCTAACAGCTATAGCAAATGATCTTCTAATCAAAGAAATGAACCTGGCATTGATCCTTTTCTTGATCAATCTAACAGCTATAGCAAACGATCTTCTAATCAAATAAATGAATCTGGCATCGATTGTTTGCTTGATTAACCTAATAGTTATGCCAAACATTCTTCTAATCAAAGTCACCATCTACATTCTGATGAAGATGAATCTTCAGAAGATGAGATTTTTTCTTCACTTGGTCAATATTACAATGCGGGCTCTTTTAAAAAGTTATCTTATTAAACTTCTTTATTAAATACCAATCCATATCCTACTATTCAGTCAGATTTGACAATTTCACCTACAAAAGATGGCTTTTTTTTTCAAGATGAAACATATCTTGTATGGTGGCTAGAAATACATAAAGACATATTATTGCAGGCACTCAACTCTATTTTTTCATCGCCATCTGTTACATCAAGTCAGGTTAGTAGTAATTCATATGCCTAAATTGTTTATACATATAGTAACTATATAATTTAAATAATAGTTGCTTCATCTGACACATCACATTTGGCAAAAATACTTTCTGAGCAATCGCAAATTCTGTTTCTTCGAACCCAAATGCCAACAAAAAGAACCTGTTCGTCATTAATTAGGAGTATTATTCCTAATATGATTAGCACGCATTCAGATTGGAATGAAATTTCAAGTAAATTAAGACAGGCATTCGAAAATTTTTGTAGTACCTATAATGATGATGTTGCCAAATTGGCAAATCATTTGATTAGAAAAAAAAGGCAAGTTATTATTATTTTATTTTATATTTTACAGCATAACAATAATAAATATGGTTACAATTATTAACTTAATTCTAGCAATCCTTCTAATCGTGACATCGAAGCATTTATAGCTGGAGTGGTATAGGAAAAACCACTTAAGAAGCATATTAATATTCTCGATTATGATGCTTTCAAAACCTAGCATTCAGGAGTAAAAGCATTAATGACTTTTGTTGCTAAAAGCCTCAAGATACATGTTGAATACTTAATTGCAGAAGCTAAAGAAAAAAAATCCAGATTATACCTCTACGGTCTTAAATTGTGTCAAAGAATTAGATTATATTACAATTGACATAAAGTTTCCAGCTGTAAGTTATTTTCAATATGCGAATCAACTAGAACTTAAAGAAGAACAAGAAAGGTATGGAAAGTTTAAAAAAAAAAACAGTTATAATAATATCGATAATAATTGAATTTTATTAGATAAAGATTGTTCAAGAAGCTACAAGAAAACTAGTAATAAGTTAAAGCAAATAAAGAAATGCAACGGCTTTTTATTTTTTAGCATATTTATCTATTTAATGCTTACATAATGATACTTTTTAAATTTTATTATACATCTACCATCTTGATATTCTGGTTGATAAAACTTTCACCCTTTGATGCATTTAAAAATATACAAGATTTAAGCAAGCTTATTTAGCAACTCTTAATTAAAGTTTATCTTAGTACTGCTTATTTGGTTACTGTGGCTAAAACTTATACTCGTGCCAATAAATTGGTCTTGTTTGATATATGTTTATATTGATCTCTTACTTGGTTAATAACAGATTCGTAAATTACTAAATATTCTTTCGCCTTAAGTGATTACACATATAAATTAATTTATCATATCCATATATAGAATTATATTTATTGCACATGCAAATTCATTCAACGTCTTTGCTCTAAATAGCACATGTAAATTTATCCACTACTTAGATTCATAAATTACTAAATATTCTTTCACCTTAAGTGGTTATACATATAAATTAATTTATTATATCTATATATAGAATTATATTTGTTGCACATACAAATTCATTTAACGTCTTTGCTCTAAATAGCACATATAAATTTATCTGCTAATTTTATTTGGATTATACAAAGTTATCTAAATCTTATGATTATCGTAAAGATTGTTTTGTCAGTATATTTAAAAAATTTGTAAGAAATTACTAATGCTAGTAAAATTTATTAATTAATAAATTCAAGATTCAATTTATATTTGGGGCATTGTTAATCAAAACGATACATAGTGAGATCCGAAAAATTGTTACACGAAATAATAAAAAATTATATCATGCTTAATCATAACATGTTACTTGTAACAACTAATAAAAATATATATATATCAAGTTTGTTAGTAATTAATATATGTGATATATACTCTATGTTACAATTAAGCATTATATAATTTTCTATCATTTTGTATAACAATTTGTCAGATCTTACTATGTATCGTTTTGATTAACGATGCTCATTTTCTAGTAAATTCAAACTCCTACGTATCAAATTTCTGTTATTGTATTACGTAATTATTGTTGCTATATAAGAAATTTTACAAAAAAAAAGAAAGAATTGAATCTCTCTCACTTGCAAAACTTGATACCCAAACACCTACTTTATTCTTGCAAAACTTGATACCGAACAACTTTATTATTGTAAAACTTGATATACAAACCTTATATTATTATTGAAACCTTATACTCGAACAAGTTATATTATTATTTCCAAGTGCTATCGACTTAAGGCTTTTTCTTATTATTTTCAATTTAAAGAAAAACCTTGCTTCCCATTTTTTGTCATAATCCTAAAGTTGAAATTTTACTAAGTTACTTAATAACCAAATGTTTTCTCGAAATAGATTTAAAAAAAGTAATCTACAATATCCTTACGATTTAAATCTACGTTCTAAGAAGACTTATTTGAGCAACTATATTTTTTCAGAAAACCTTAACAATCAATAGCCTGAATATGAGTTTAGTAATAATAGCTTAAATCATAACAGTTAACGTTTTGAACTTAATGATACTCAACCTAATAATAACCAACCTGATAATAACTAACGATCTTACTATAGAAATAATAATACTCAAGACTATAATTAGCATGTTATTAATAATAGCTTGTTTAATACCGATAATATAGAACTTGATTAGGAATTTGAAGATGGCTTGGATAATATTAATATCATAAATAATAGCTTCAACTATAATAATCAGCAATTTGAATTTAATGCTCAACCTGATAATAAACAACAATCTTATAGAAATAATAATACTAAAGACTATAATAATCAATATACAAATAATAATAGCTTGGATAATGTCGATAACGTAGAGCTTGATTAGGAATTTGAAGATAGCTTGGATAATATCAATGATATAGAGCTTGATTGGGAATCTGACGACGGTTTAAGCTATAGTGAATTAAATAGTATAGATAATGAAAATGATAATATAAATAGTTATAGTTCAGATAATGAGTATAAACCAATAGATAATATACCAAAGATATTTGATGGAACAAAATCAGATTTAAATTGGAACCATGATAGCCCATTTTGTTCATTTGAAAATTTCACAAATATAGCTATTTTCATATGGTCCACCAAATATATGATTTGTAAGTAATTTGGTTTAATATCCTTTTATACATATATAAAAACTAACAATTTATATATATATATTTAGCGACTGCAGCATATTATGACTTAGTACAAATCCTACTTAACCCAAAGTTTGAAAAAAAGCACTTAACTACCAATTTGCAATATCTTAAGAGACAACATGAGCAATTACCATTGATGAAAATTTATAGTCATATAATTCCAATAAATACTAAAAACACACCATCGATATCTAAAAACTCTACTCGGGTTTATTATTTTTCTTTAATTGAACATATTCAACGTATCTTAAAGAATCCATCTATTAGTTCACATTTATATTTTGGGCCGGGTATTTTGTCAAAATCCTGTAAAGAATTATGGGAAGGGGATCTTTGGGCCAAATCCCCTCTTTTTGGCCAATCTAATTTAATTACAATACAAGGTATATGTATATGTTAGTTCATATTATGCATAATTATCAATTTTTTTTAAATAATTTTTATTTAGGTTTATTCAATTGTGGAAATTTCATTAAATACTGTTTAGTTAATAAAACTATTGAAGTCGGCCGAATCAGATCTTTTGTTACTGTTGATAAAAAAATGATGACACGAATTCAACGATTATTTTCATACAAACAAATTCCACAATATCTACATTCAAAACAACATATTTCATACTTGCCAAAGGAACAATATCTAGTTGAAGAATCAGAACTTTTCATTATTGATCCATCATCATTAATTTGCTACTTTAATGTTTGGCTTCAAGACCAACCATCACCACCTATAGTTGATTTTTTGTCAACAAAATATTATATTATAATAATAACTGGTGGAGGCTTCACCTAATAAAACTACATCATCAACGCCTATCTGAGTATATGTCTATCAAACTATCAGCAGATTTAAATATGCCAACTTTTAAGTTTTATTTGGATTTATACTACGACGATTTTGGCACTTTTCGCAACACTTATCATTCTTTAGATAGTGTTTACCTGCAGATTGGTAATATGCCTCAGCAGTTAAAAAAACAACTACGCAATTATTTTGTAATTGGACTAGTGCCATTTGGTAGAAACTTTAAAGATTTTATAAAAATTTTTATTAAAGAAGTTCATGAACTTGAGCAAGATTTCGTAATTAATGTGAATGGTATAAATTGTTGGGTTACAGGTGGACTAGATATGGTTACAGCAGATTTGCCTCAGGGGAATGATATTGTGGGTGTATTACATCATAATGCCAATCTCGAATGTCATAGTTGTAAAGCTTTCAAAAATGATTTAACAAATATTTCATTTGATATTTATTCTAATGGTTGTTATCGCCAAATAACCGACCAAGAATTTGAGATTATAAGTGCACAACAAACAATTATAGCACGATCACAAACCTGCTCACAATATGGATTACGCCCATCACCAGGCCCTCTAGACTCTATTCTTCATGATCGTCATCAACATGTACTACAGGATGTATATCATGCTATTGCAGGCAAAGCAGCACGACTTCTTGACTATACTTGTCTTATCTTAACAACACAAGGAGAAAGTAATTTGATTAAATCTTGGAAATATTTTGAGGTTCCGACCAGATGGGGACATTTATCCAATATGATTTCACACAGATATTCATTTATGATGTCAGATATTTTACGTGTTCTAATGATATTTCCTTTTATTTTAAAACATTTTTTATCAACTAGAGATATTAAGTCTAATTTTCTAAATGAAATGAAGGCTCGACTAAAACTTTCTCGACAAAGCAATGTCATAAATTATTTGATTCGAATTTGGGGGCTTACTGCAAAAGTTAGCAAGCATGACTTTTCATTATCTATTGATAGGTTAGATGGTTATTCTCAACTTCAAAAAATGCTAGATAAAGAAATTAATACAATAATAAAGGTAATTTTATTTATTTATTTGTTTGTTTATTTTTATTTATTTACATATCAGCGGATTTGCAGAATTGGTCTTGAATTGATTCTCAATTGTATCCTCAAAGTTATTTGCAAAGTGAACCCCAAAGTTTGTATATAGCAAACAAGCGTACATAGAAAGATAAATTAAGGGGTAAATAGATACAATTACAATGTCATTGTATCTATTTACTCCTTAAATTATCTTTATATGTATGTATATTTGTTTGCTACAAAATTTGGCAGATAACTTTGAGGATACAATTTAGGATCAATTCAGGACCAATTCCATAAATCTGCCGATATGATTGTTTATTTATTTATTTAATTTTAATTACAATCCAATTTGTTTAAATAAGTTATTTCCTGATAGCTTTCAAAATCTTCCGAATCTTCATGCAAATCGGCACCTGGTAGACCATGCACGTCAATATGCAACATGTATTAACATGGCAGTTGGAGTAAAAGAAATGGTATATACAATCTTTAAGTCAATTGTACCACATACAAACAAACACAATCTTGAACTCACACTACTGCGGCAAGTTAATACATTGCAAACACTGAGATATTTGGCGAATGGGGAAATAGACGACCGCATAAGCAACATGCCACCACAATTAATATTTAAAGAATTAATTATCAAACCACGCTTATGCCACTTACTGTTGGGTTGGTGTATTGATGATAACTTTTCAATACACTTATTGCAAGATTATAAACAAGGTATATTAATATGATGCTATTTTCTATTTGTACCTTTTTAACTAATCTCTTAAATTTTAAATCAGATAATTTCACCGATTCATATAGTTTTTCGCATCACAATTGTTCTGAAATCAAACTTGGTTTAAGATGAGATAAAGATAAAATAGAAAGCTCTAGATTTATTTCCACTGACCTTGAAACTAATGAACTTTTCGAAAGTATTATGCATGCATACTCCTCATATTTTTCTATAGACCAATCATTATTAAAAACAAAAATTAAATACTATCAGAATGTTTCATTTTCTATAATTAAGTCTAATGGTGATAATCAATATGTAAAATTTCGTGTTGGCAAAGTTGTTGAAACTACTCTATTTGATAACAGGTAGCCCTTATTTGAAATGGTCAAAGAAATAATTGAACATATGTGGAACGACGATCAAGTTTACGTATTTATTGATTTGGAATGGCTGAAATGTCTTAAAAAATTTGATGACTTACTGGGCTGTCCTCTTTATCATCTCCGACGTACTCGCAATAATTCACTGGATTAAATTCATTCAATTTCCATTGTGTCAAGATCACCAAATGTCCTATTTATTTATAATTGTAAATCAAGTTGTTCTCTACAGCAGCATGACTTTACAAATCATAAATATATTTGAAACGATTTTTTTTTTACTGCTATCTAAAGAATTCTGGCCTTGTTACATAAAAATTAATCTTATAGTATCTGATCAAAATTAGATTATTGTTAGTATGTATGATTAATAACATATTTTTTTGTAAAATTGAATAAGTTATGTATCACTAAGAAGTAGGTGACTCGATGAATAATAAGTTTGGATATATATTTTTTTATTATTTGAACTTACGTCTAAATTATTTGAATTTTTACAGATTAAAGAATCATTTAAAATATAACGAATTACTAATATAATTATCTATATCGTTCTAGATTTCTAGATTTAAATGACTTACTGGCTTATATGGACATCTTCTACAATAGTGGTCAATGTTGTTGCGCTGGTTCTCATGTTTATATTGAATGGATCTATCAGTAAATTCAAAGAATATGTTCCAAGCTTGGTAATTCGCTTCGTAAAGAGCTTATCAAGATCTTCAAATATCTTTGCAACAATTTAACAAGTAATATTATATAACTTATTATCTAATTATTTATATAATATTAATCAATTTAATATTTATTTATAGTTTATCTAGTTAATGAGCACCAAAGACATGGTGACTAAAGTTATTTTATTGAACCAAGAATTTCACTAATTCGGTAAAGACTGCTTATGTATTTATTGTGTGAATAGTGATTTTGTATTGGATTTCTATTTAAGAATGAAGAAATGAAAGCACATTTAGTTCCGTCTTATCTGTCTCAAAATTCAGACCTATTGAAAAAGTTATCACCTAACGGAATATGGCTTATCTGTTGTCGTGTTTACTAAGAATATCACTCGTGCAGTAAAATCTCAAATAAGTTAAAAGCTGACGCAATATGGGTAAAAATTTTTAAAATTTTATTTATAATTTAATAATATGACCTAGCTTTATTATTTTACTTACAGTTAGCTGTAGTCGATATCAATTACATAAGAAATTATCATTTCAATTAATTGAGAATTCAGAAAATATGTGTTGGATTAATATACTCGAATGAAAACCATTCAAATTAATCTTGGGAGTTTAAATACGAAACGTGAGTATTGAATTTATTTATTATATTATATTAATATAGGGAATAAGATAACATTTCAAATATTAATATGTATCAAATATCACAAAAGTTATCAAAGTTCAAAATTAATCTTAATCGAAGTAACTTGCAATTTACACTACTTTTAAATATAGAGGCCTTAACGAAAGAGAATACAGTTCTTAATCAAAATATTATAGGTTAACACGTTATGCTGAAATATCTCTTGAACAACGATATTGAGAGTGTGGTTATATATTTATCCAATAATAGTAGATTATTTTTATTTTAAAACAATGTAATATTTTAATTTTGATATAACGACTAGCATCAATTTATTATAAATTTTATTATTAGCATCTTTATAAAAAAAACACTTAGATAAAGAGAAAGCATTATGTGGGCAAGAGAAAAAGGAGCCAGAGAATCTCATTTATATATATCTACTAAGGTAATTAGATAATGATGTTATGTGAATCAATTTATAGCATTAAGCTTTATTTTCAACTTTTAATATTAGATTATGACTTAACTATTTTTGAGTGCTTTCAAGGATTTGATCTTGTAAATTTCAGGATTGCCAATATTTGCTATCCGAAGTTCCACAATTTAAGTTTTTGTGACATATGGGCTTTCAAAGCTATGGTTGCTCACAATTTGGAATTCCAGTTGACTTTGGGTTTTTGTAAAATCGTCAAAATACAACTATTAGACTAGTGCTCCAATAACAGACAATCATCTTGGTGAGTAAATTATACATTAAGTATTATTCTTTTTCATTTTGTGACAAACTTCTATTAACATGTGATGAATAGCAAAAAAAAAATTCTCAAACAAATGGTGCCAAGACATTTAATAGTTAGATAATACTGTGTATGAATTATAAGATTTGTAGTATATAAATATATTTATTGCAAATGTAATGAAAATATTTTACAAATATAATAAAAATATTTTGCTTTAATTGTCCTATTAAATATAAATAATTTTTTTTTTTTTTAATTCTTTAACAGTCTTGTCGAAGCTCAAATACAAATTATTACAACTATTAGACTAAAAACAAAGTTTAAAGCTATTTCTAATAATCACTAATTTAAAATTGCAAACCCGACATTACCCGGCTGCATATTATGTGCCTAGATGCAACTTGTTACACCAACCTACATGTGAGTCAGAAGACATTGTCAGCTCTATCAAGAACTAAACCAAAATAGGGTTAACCCATTCTCAATCCATTTTATAACACCTCTTCAAACAACTGCTTTATCTCCACCACTCTCTCTGTACTTACTGCAATACTTTTGTTATTTGGTTCAATATTAATCTTGCTTCTCCATATTTTTGACATAGTGCTGCTTTCACTGTTGTGTACAATAGTTTTCTCACATCTACTTCACTTCATCACAGAAAATATACCATTTGCCTTTTCCCATGCAACTACAGACCTACATCTCTTTTGCCAGATCTCATTACAAAAACCATTTTTGACAATTGTTTTGTACTTCAAAATTGCCTTATTTATAACTCTTCTTAAAAGTTGCCAGTTTAAAAGATCATCAACTACTTCACTTGAAAGAGCCCTTGAATATAATCTTTTCTTCGCTCGATCTGCTTTTCAACTATACTACCAACCACAATACTTTTAAACACTTCAAAAGGAGCTCTTTTTCTATATACTCTGCCTATTCTATACCAGACAATTGGGCATGCTACATCCTCAATTATGTTCCAGAAAAAGGAAAAGTTTGTACACTCAACCAGGTGATCGGTTGTCTCCTTTTCAACTTCGCAACTTGTACATAAATCTACTGAATACAAGTCGGGTCTACGTTTCTTCAAGACTGAAAGAACTGGGAGATTCTCACTTATGCATTTGATTCTAAATGCTATACTTCTACTTGCACTATATAACTTGCACTTGTTTCCTGTTGCTTTTCTATTTGACGCCATAATGCTTTCCAATCATGGCTGGTATCTTCTTTACTTTCAAATATTTATATAGCATGTGAGCTCCTCCACTCTGCACCCATTTTAAGGCCAAAAAGTGTTTTTGCTACCTTTCTCGTAGATAACTCTAATGGTGTGTTATTTAAAAATACTGTATATAACTTGCAGTGGTTGTTTTCAAATAGTAAAGACAAAATTTGGTTTAACTGCACTCCTTCTTTTGCCAGCTGATTAGCTCTTTCATTCTATCTTACATTACTGTGTGCTTTAACTTTTACTAGATCAAGTGCAATATTTTTTGACTTACAGATGTTGAGAATCTTGATCACCAAGTTAACGTTTGGCCTCTTGCTCCACAACCTCACATCGATTAATAATGCTGCATTAGACAAACTTGCTATTGCTGCTGCACTATCAAGCTTAATCACCACTTCGCTATTGCATTTAACCATCAACAATGACATCCAAATCGCTACTAACTCTGCTTTTGTTGATGATGGCCATTTACTAAACTGAACCTTTTCTTCTAATATCATCTCTCTTTCACTACTATCCACCAAAACCCAACTTGCTCCCATTCTACACTCTAAACTATCTTTCATTAACAACCCATCTGTATAAAAAATAAAATTACTGCTTTCCTTACTACAATTAAATTCTACTTGTTGTACTAACATGGACTCAAGTACAGAATCAAAACCTTGCTTTATAACCAAACTCTTTTTATGTAAATATATAACTATTATATCAATTAGTGGCCTCTTACTACTCTTTTCTAGAACTAAATTGCCCTCCAACTTAAATAACTTCATTTACTAACACTAGAATTCTCTTACTTCTATTTATACCTGACTTAGGAATTTCCCCTAGTACTTCTCTCTTCATAACCCTTTGGCAGCATATATCACCATCAGTTCTCTGATCGAAACTGCATTTGTTACACTCTGACAATACATTACTACCGACTCTTGTTGGTGTGTATTTCCAGTGATCAACTAAAAACTGTGTTTTCATCTTTTTCTTAACTCTACCCAACATTGATTCTGTATTTTCCTTATTGACTATCACCCATTCTCAACGTCTCTTGTCATTTGATACCTTTTCAGCCATAATCTGCATACACACTGTATTTCTTGCTAGCAACTTGTATGCACTTACTACTTCTCTACATGGTTTACTATTAATAATCTTGTTTTCAATGGCTGCAAACCACTTCGCTTTTCGTTCTTTAAGTGAATTTGCTCGCAAGGCCCGAAACTTGCTTCAAGTTAATATCTCTATACCGGCTTTATTAATTAGCTGATTGATATAAAACAGATTATATCTTCTTATAGTATTATAATGTTTACCAAAAACTTCTTCTCCTAAAACTTTTAAGATCGTGAGACCGTGCCCAAAAACTTGCCACTTCTCTGTGTTTGCACTAAGCAAGATTCCCAACTCGCTTGCCAAATTATTCTTCTACACCTTTCTCAACATTAACTTCTGTGACCTATACCAACTCTCTTTAATGAGACCTGCTAATGCAAACCTCTCACTCAACCTTATTCATATTAACTTGCCTATTTGATCATGACCATTCAACCTATTCTGCAAACTAACTAATTGCCTACTAAAAATTTCTTGACCAAGAGTGTTGCATCTTACAAACCTTGATGTGCTACTATGTAGTTGCCTGCTGTAGCCAGGAGTCCAATCTTGTTTTTGATAATTCGTGTTATAGGTTGATAAATC